TTTCCAGTTACTATCCGGAATATTCAGGAATTTCCGAGTATGCAGGGTTAGTTAAGCTTTTACCTGTTAAAGGATGACTGAATGAAAGCAAATTTCCTGTCTTCTGATTTCAGAAATGTGCCTCTTTATTACTTAAATTACTTTGCTTGAGATATATGTTAAGGGAAAAAACTGTTATGCAATGAAAATTTTTAAAATGTTCAGAATTTTGATTTTAAATTATTTAAATATTAATATGAGTGGAAAACAAATTGTATTTATTATTAGGTGCCAAATGAATACAATTAATATGGCTTATTATTATTTATTTTCTATATTTTCAACTGAAATATCATCATTAAATTTTGTAATATAGTTTAGTTCTGCATAGTTTTTTTTTTCTCTCATTGTAAACTAATTCTGTAAATTGAACTGTCATTTAAAATTTAAAAAAAAAAAAAAAAAAAAAAAGTTCATTGTTTTCCATTGTTGAGGTAATGCTCATTCTCTTAATAAATATTGCATTGCTCATATTTTAAATTACAAGTCTAATTTTTCTTTTAAGGTTATGCAGTTGTGTATAATGTAATTAGACAGGTGCTTATTTTTTCCTTAAAATGTGCTTGAAAAGTGCTTATAGGTGCTTATTTTTTTAACTAAAATGTGGCTATGAAGCCTGAAATGTCATTTTTTAATATAGTTTATTCATAATATATATAATAAGTGCTATTAATTTGCAACATGTTACGTATCTGCATTGTGTAATATTTTTTTATCTTAGTTGTTTTCCTGCATTCATCATTTATTTCTTCATGTTATCATAAAAGATAAATCACAGTCTCACTGTACTAACTTATGTTATCTTTACTTAATTCAAGGCTTCTGAGGACAGACTTATATATAGAGCCGGCCTTCTTTGTAAAAAGGCCCGGGTGCAAGAAACCATTTGGGGCCTTAAATTTTTGTAAAGTAAACAAAATTACAAATACAAACATATATTACTAATGCATGTTTATTTAATGCAAGATTTTGTTTTTGCTAATATGTATGTTAATTACTTCAGAAAAATTACAATTTTTTGCAATTTCTTTTTCAATGCTTAATATGGCAAATGCATTTTAGTGTTCTGAATTGATCGAAGATATTTCTTTATTAATTTTAATTTGCTGAAAGAGTACTCAGCACTTCTTACAGTGAATACATTTAAAAATAACTCATTTATTATTTAGTATGTATTGCAGTATGTCTTGTGTGTTAGTTACATCCCTTTCATTCAGAATCAAATCCCATGGCAAGCTCCCCAAGTTCCTGTATTAGGTTTTCATCTACATCTTTGTTATAAAACTTTCTAAAGCTTTTGGAACATTTGTCTAATTCATGTTTTTCTAAGGTTTTTATGTCTGTGATTAATTTGAAATCATGAATAATATTTGGTATACTTTTAAATCTATCTTCTGTTTGTATAATAACAGTATAAATTACAGTATTAAAAAATAACATCTAAATTCCTCTACCAGGTTTTCTATAACTTCATCTTTTCCTATTTTGGAATACAGTACAAAGTCCGTAATCCGGACTTCGGCGGTTCTGGATTAGTGGTTTTTCCGAATTATAGATCATCAATTTAAATCTGGTGAGATGACATGCAGAAATTATACAGTTAAAAATATGAAACCGTAATTTATGAAATAAAGAGCAATTATGATCTAAAGGGTATCAAAACTTACAAAAAAAATATTTATTTGTTTACTTTATTAAACATTTCTCTCAATGTAAGTTGTTTTGTTTTTTGTGCTAGTATATTCTCTTTAATTCTATAAACAGACATAATTTCTTGTTCAGTTGCAAATTTCCACTGTTCAAGTCCTGTAATTGCTGTGTCAAGAATTACAGTACAGTCAAAAGTCGTTAATTCGGACACCCATAATTCGGAATGATCTATAATCCGGACCTCAAAGCTAAAAACTTTCTGCGCATGCGCCGCGTTGACACATGCGCACAGGCGTTTACGCGTGCGCGTAAGACCTCTTACGACTGCGCATTTGCGTGTGCGCAAGCGCAGAATACGTTTTCGCGTGCGCGTTTTATGTATAACGGACGGTGTAAGCTAAAATTATCTAATTATCTATTTCAGTTAATGTTGATGATTGCGTTGTTCCTTAATTTTCGAATTGGATCCGGCTTATTATTTTTTGCAGACTGTAAGAGCAATACTATAAGAGTAAACTTGAACTTTCGATTATGTCAAATAGAATTTTTGATTCTGGAGCTCCCAAAGGATCGTACAAAACGAAAGTATGTTTCGATGTCCATCAAACAAAAAGTGGAATTGCTGCAAAAAATGGATAAAGACATGAAGAATGTGACAGAGAGGTTAGTGAAAACGAAAAAATTTCGATTGACAAGTTAGTCGGTATTCTTGACATAGCAATTAACGGGACTTGAACATCGGAACTTTATAAGTGAACAAAAAATTATATCTGTTTATAGAATTAAAGAGAAAGTATTATCACATAAAACGAAGGAACTTAAACAACTTACATTGAAAGAAATGTTTAATAAAGTAAACAAATAAATATTAAGCTTTTTTTTGTAAGTTTTGATACCCTTTAGATCATAATTGTTCTTTATTTCATAAATTACGGTTTCATATTTTTAATTTTAGAATTTCTGCATGCCATCTTACGCGATTTAAAATGATGATCTATAATCCGGAAAAATCGATAATCCGGAATCGCCGAAGTCCCGACGAGTCCGGATTAACGACTTTTGACTGTATTAAAAAATAACATTTAAATTCCTCTACCAGGTTTTCTATAACTTCATCTTTTGCTATTTTGAAATACGGTACAAAGTCCATAATCCGGACTTGTCGGGACTTCGGCGATTCCGGATTAGGGGTTTTTCCGAATTATAGATCATCAATTTAAATCTGGTAAGATCGCATGCAGAAATTATACAATTAAAAATATGAAATACCATTAAATATATGAATATACCATTGTCTTAATAATTATTTACATCAATAAATTATTCTAGGTTATTACAAGTTTGTGCAAAGGGTGTATGTGCTTGACTAAATTGTCAATTGAAATTTTTCATAGTATATAATCTCTAATAATGCATGTAGAGTATATTTAGCAATACATTTGGTTGCTTTGGTAGAATGACCTTTTTCTTTTTTTATCATGTTTTTGTCACAAAAGGTATGAAAATTAAGCTAGTTTTTTTAGCGTTGTTTTTTTAAAAAAGTATTTGAAAAGAAATGTGTTATAATTCCCTGCCATAATTTAGAAACTGCTTTTATTCGCATATGTATGCGAGAAATAAGGAGAACAGAAGAGAATAAGGAGAAGCTTCATTTTCAAAAGTTATGTATCATGAAATATAATACTCTAAAGCATTGAAGGGGGAAACTTCTTTCGAAGCCTGCCAAAAAGTAAAAGAAAAAAAAATTTAGTGGGCCAATATAATTTATTCTAAGACTTTAAAAGAGTTTACAAATATTAATGAGATGAATGAAACTGCATTTTTAAACATTCTCTGAATTCGGACTCCAACTGCAATATACTAAGTTTGAGAAGTGATGCCAAGTGCTCATCTGTCAGTCTGTTTCTAATAGAATTCTTCCTAAGATTCATGATAAAGAAAACACTTGTTCACGTATACAAGATGAAACAAATATATATTCAATTTGGAAAATGATAGTTTGTAAAACTCTTAATTTTGGAACACTAATGGCAACTTCTTGAGATGATTATTAAATTATAATTCATTTAATTCAAGCTTCAAATCACCTCCTGCTTCACAATTTACATTCAGAATCATGGTGAAATTTTCCAGTTCTATTTGAATGGCATTGAAATCTGCATTCAAACCCTAAGTGCATTTTCTCAGGCCATCTTCATGGGAAAAAAGAAAAAACAAAAAAGAGTATTTGTTTAGAAAGATTATCAATATATATTCCCTTCTGGAAAAATTTCAAAGAAAGGTGTAAGTTTTGTTGTACTTGCCTGTGCTTGTGCTACTGCAGAAGGGGCAGAAAATGTGCAATGTAAATGTGAATGAAATAACAGACCTCTTCTACATGAACTTGTTTTTCGCACTGATCCCGTGACATGCCTTTCTTTTTAGGGACTCTACAATATATATGATACGTATAATATATATTGTATTTATATAAATGTAATATATTTTTTATTATGCGATGGATCATAGTTTGTATGCTAAAGTATAGTCCTAAAATTGCAGTTTTCAAATAAACTTTATTATTTATTTTAAATTAGATGTGTAAACAAATTTTTACCAATTGGGCTGGGGGGAATTTTTCAGACTTATTGTAAAATAACGGATGTGAAGAATTTATGTATGTTTTATGGTTTTTAAAGTGGCATAATAGCAGAAGTTATTTTGAAGATTTTCTTTTCATGCATTTTTATTAATATATCAAAAACATATCCTTTTGAGGTCTGCAAACTAAGAATTGTATAATTAGCTGGATGTCTTTTTCACATACGAGCAAATTGACAGCGACCTGAAATTAAATGTGATCAAAAAATGAAATGGGGTTTATTTCACCATTAAATTAATCATAGCCTTCAATCCTTCAGAAACAGAAGAAAATGCTTTTATTTTATAATTTTTAACTCGTTTTATTCTTTTTAATACTCATTTTATTCTAATTTGTGAGAAAAATTTATGTATTTTTACATAATAAATGCTATGTTTGATTTTGAGGGAGTAGTGTAAAATGGAATCATTAATGTTCAAACTATTTATTTCCAGGATTATAGAATTCTTTATGTAGTTTTATTTTAGGTTCTTCCCTTTGTTTATACATGTCCCAACATATTCTTAATAAAACCGTATTCAGCTGTGATAGTTTAAAATAATTATGATCATCATAAAGAATTGATGAAGTACATAATGCTTGGAAGCTGTAATATTTGTTACCATTTCAAAGCAATGTGTTTCTCTGCAGCTGCCTCTCATTTGATTGTAATTCTGTTTTTTTATGACAGATGGCTCACGTGGCTCTATCAGTGGTGGCAAATAAAGAAACGGAGACAAAACAGTGGAGAAACTAGTCATGTAAGCACAAGATGGGAGGAAGATTATGCTCTTGCAGAATGGGGCCCAACTCATCTCTTTTTCGAATATTTAGAAATGAGTATGTGTCTTTAATAATGCCATTCACTTGATTTCCCTTATAATGTTCATATTCCTAATTTAACTTTTCTCATAAAACATTTTTGAGGGTATGTAATAATGTTTTTGGAGTGTGCAAATAAATAACTTTAATCATAAAAGTCTCTTGAAAATTTTTAGTTAAAAAATTAATTAATTTCCTAATGAGGGGCTAAGATCATAAGCAAAAAGTTATTTTTAATATTGCAAATTGTTGAATACTGATTACTGTAGCCATTTTTTGGTGAAAGTGTATATCATTATGAGAGTGAAGTAGCAAAAGAACCTAAAGAGTTGATGAGCTTTGTACCTAATAATTTTAGCTTTAAAAAATTCATTGATAATACAGTTCTGTTTATGAAAAACAACAATGAAAGCTAAATTTGATGTTTAAAGTTATTAAAAAATGCCCATGAATTTTCCCCTAAATAGGAGTTCAGGATTAATATTGCATTTAGTTTTTATTTGTTTATGTGTGTGCATATATAGATGCATAGCTATGAACTATTCCAGTTTTATTAGGAGATTACTGGTTTGTCTTTACATCATTTGGTCTGGTAGATCTCCAAATTTCCCAGCTCTTAATTTTTAGCCTTTACAAAGGAAAAAGTTTCTTAACAGTAAATGAAGTTTAATGATTGAATGAAGCTTAAATTGGGCAAATTAATGTCTCTCCTCTAGTGATTTTGAGCATAATTTTTCTTATTAAATATTATTTAATGGGAATTCTATTAATCTACTGCAGACATCTGTATAACTTCCTTCTTTTTTTTATTTTATTTACTCAGTTTTACAGTTTGTACATCAGTTGTTAATTTTGTTTTCAACATGTTTAAAAGTACTTTGGGAGGGGTGAACAAGCTTTTCTTCCTTACTCTGAATTTCCTCAGTAAAAACATGTAAGAACATTACAAAATAAAATTAACTAAAGAACATAAAATTTCAAATATCTAATTAAATGTTAATGTATTTTACATCAGAATCATAGTATACATAGTTCAGTAAAATGGGTCATGCGTTATTCAATGAATTTTATTCAATTTGGAGTTCTTTTGAATTGACATCGCCATGAAGGCTTAAACGTCCAGGAATTCCTAGTTTTCATGTGAGAATCTCTTGATTTTTCATATTTCATGGTTGTCAGATACATAGATATACTTGTGTGTATTCTGTAATTAGTTATTAATATTTTAATTATATATATAGTATATATATATTTTAACAAAATTGTTTCAAAGAATAAATTGAATTTAAATACAAATTTAATTAATTCTTTGTGCCATTGCTGCAAGGAATGAAATTTAAATTTTAACAAACATGTATATATGTAAAAAGCAAATTTAAAGTTAAAATAATTTTAAAATATGCAAACATATAAAAGATTTAATTTTTGAACTAATTTACAATATCATTTAAATTCAGATAGCATAAGTAAATCAAGTGCAAAACCAAACCATGAAAATAAATCCACCAATTTAGCAAATTAAAATTAATCTAATTTTTTTAAAAAAATTTTTTTAATGCATAAGAGAATGACTGTTGAGCAGGCAGGAGACAGACTTATCAAGGGGAAGTTGCCTCCAAACCTAACTCCACAATCATTCAATTCGTGTTTCATCATTCATGCAGTCAAGGGTAAAAGTCAAAACCAAAAGTAAATACAGTCAAAAGTTGTTAATTCGGACACCCATAATCCAGATCTCAAAGCTAAAAACTTTCTGCGCATGCGCCGCGTTGACACATGCGCACAAGCGTTTTACACGTGCACGTAAGAACTTTACGACTGCGCATATGCGTGTGCACAAGCACAGAATACATTTTTGCCTGAGCATTTAATGTATAATGGACGGTGTAAGCTAAAATTATCTAATTTTCTATTTCAGTTAATGTTGATGATTGCGTTGTTCCTTAATCTTCGGATTGGATCCGGCTTATTATTTTTTTGCAGACTGTAAGAGCAATTTTATAAAAGTAAACTTGAACTTTCGATTATGTCAAATAGAATTTCCGATGCTGGAGCTCCCAAAGGATCTACAAAACGAAAGTATGTTTCGATGTCCATCAAACAAAAAGTGGAATTGCTGCAAAAAATGGATAAAGGCATATCCATCTCAAAATTATGCAAGGAGTATAACATTGGAAAGTATATGACATAAGCATAAAGAAAAAGGTTTTGTGGATTCCGACACTTCATTTGCAATGAATAACAGAAAAAGGGTTCGTTATGCTAAAAGTGACGATCATGACAGAGTGATGATTGAATGGGTCAGACAGCATCACAGCGAGGGCGTGCCATTGACGGGTCCAAAGGTAATGACTCAAGCCAAAATACTTCATGAAGAAATGAACTTAAACGGTGAGTGCACATATTCAACGGGTTGGTTAACAAAATTTTAAAATCGCCATGGTATAAGACAAAAATTTCTGGTGAAAAATATTCAGCTGATACTGAAGCTGCTGAACAATTTGCAGATGAATTCATTGAATTCTTTACTAGTGAACAATTATCTGCAGAACAAATTTACAATGCTGATGAAACTGGTCTTTTCTGGCAATATGTACCGCAAAATACCTTGGCAACCTCTACAGAAAAGGAGTCAAAGATTCCAAAGCAAGACTAACAATTTTAGCATGCGCAAATGCTGCAGGAATGCACAAGTGCAAACTTTTCGTAATCGGAAAACATGCACGACCTCGAGCTTTTATAGGAGTAACGAGTTTCCCTTTTATATATCGTGCAAATAAAAGAGCATGGATGACACAAGTGTTGATGAATGATTGATTTGAAAATCATTTTAATACCCGAGGCTCGGCGACATTTGAATTCGGTTTGGTTTACCTGATGACTGCAAAAATTAGTTCTGATTGTTGACAGTTGTTCGGCGCATACTTCACTTAAAGTTTTAGTGAAAGATAATGTATCCGTGTTATTCTTCCCTCCAAATTGTACGTCTATCATTCAGCCTATGGATATGGGAATAGTGCACACGCTGAAATGCAAATATAAAGCAGCATTTTTAAAGTCTATGTTAAATTTCTTGAACAGTGGCAAGACTATTCAAGAATTTTTGAAATTTTTTAGCATAAAATCTGCCGTGTGGAGCATCGCAAGATCGTGGGAGGATGTGTCTCCATGTACGTTAAAAAATGCTTGGCATAATTTATGGCCATCTACCATATTTCATGGTGAGGAGGATGAAGATGATAGCCGCGAATTTGAAGGTTTTCAGACATCGCAAACTAAAGCTGAAATTTTTCAGTTATTGGATTTTGTAAAAAAATGTGGAGAAGCGGTAATAAATGAAGGATGATATAAGAGAAGTTTTTTTTTTCATTGGCGACGACAATGCCCCAATCATCAATCAATTCGATGGATGGCAAAATCTGTAGTATGGTTCCTAGATCCAGAAAATGCCGCTTCCGATGATAGTGAAGAAAGTGACAGAGTGGTTATTGAAAACGAAAATAATTTTCGATTGACAAATTAGTCGTATTCTCGACATACCGCAATTACAGGACTTGAACAAAATGGAACTTTGTAACTAAACAAGAAATTATGTCTGTCTATAGAATTAAAGAGAAAAGTATTATCACAAAACGAAGCAACTTAAACAACTTACATTGATAGGAAATGTTTAATGAAGTAAACAAATAAATATTAAGCTCTTTTTTTTTTTTCTTTTTTTTTTTTTTTTTTTTTGTAAATTTTGATACCCCTTTAGATCATAATTGTTCTTTATTTCATAAATGACGGTTTCATATTTTTAATTTTAGAATTTCTGCATGCCATCTTACAAGATTTAAACTGATGATCTATAAACCGGAAAAATCGATAATCCGTAATCACCGAAGTCCCGACGAGTCCAGATTAACGACTTTTGACTGTACATAGTGAAGAATGTCCAAAAAGAAATACCAATAAAGTGGTACCTTGAGAAATTAGCAATTAAAATAAAGGTCTAAAAGGAAAATAACAATAATGAAGTATTTTGAGAATAAAGCAATGTAAAGTCTAGTATTAAATGAAATTTTGGTAAAAGCGCAGAATAGGCTGCATCAACAAAGTTCAGTAGGAGGAGCTGTGTGACGTACATAAATGGGTGGGACTAAGCTTGTCACGTCACGGTAGTCTCCGGTCTCGCATTTACACTAAGCAAACTTTCTATTTTCTCTTAAAAATAACAATAATAAATTGTTTATTATTGTAAATTAATATCAAATTCTTTATTTTTAATTTACATTTATAACATTTAAACTTAGATGTTACTGATAATAAGTATAATAAATTGTTTATATTTAAAATTATGGTAATACTGTGAGCGAATTCTACCAAGGAGGTTATTCCATGAATTCTACCAATTATTAAATTGATAAACAACATCCCGGTCTCTAATACTTATAGAGCTTCAATATTTTCAAAGATTTTTATTAAAGCATTTATACAAATAAAAAAAATTAATTTAAATTCATATTGTGGAACATTTCAATTTTATCATTTTTACAAATTACCTTGCTACGTAACAACATAATTCCTTACATACCAATAATTAGACAATTTTCATTATTTTCTAAAAATTTTAAACATTACATTAATAAAAAAGAAGAATATTTTTTTATTGCATATGAACATTCATTACACAAGCTTTCATATCAGTTTCTTAAATTCCTAAATCATGCCATATTCTCTGTAGACATACTAGAATTCTACCGCATTAATAAATAAGTAAAAAAAATAATCTAATTTCTCAGCAATGAAAGAAAATAATATAATAAAATAAATACTACAAACTTGGAACACTTAAGCAATGCTTTCACATACACACACACATATTATCAGATGAACTGATATTATCAAGTGCAATTACGATACCTAACACTACGTATTAAAATAATGAGATAAAAGTTACTTATAGGATCAAAGTTTACAGTTTTGCTGCTGTTAATACTGTTGAGTAGATCGTTGGGCTATTGATATATATCGTA